TTTGTTTATTAAATATATTTTTTATCTTGAATTTTATATATAACTGCGTTTCAAATCTTGATTTTATAAAAATTAAAATAATATATTTTTTATTTATTTTACTTATAAAAATTTATATCACAATAATTTTAACTGAGAATATAATTTTTTAAACTATAATTAAAAATATTTTTTTAAAACCTGAATTTTTTTAAAATAGAACCACAAATCCTCCTCAAAAAAACACAAAATAAAAAATGATCAAGAAAAGGAGAAAGAATGGACAAGTGGAAGAGATTTCACGACAGCTAGCCTAAGAGATGTCTTATGTTAAACAAACCTCCATGCAAGATATGATTCCATCGATGATGTTGCGTTGGGCCCACGCTTTATTCATTTGGACCCACTGTTGTTCATCTGATGCGGTACCGGTTAGAAACCTAACCATGATTGGTTAACGTCAAACAATTCGCAACAATTTTATTTTTTAAACATAATTCTAAATTTGGTATTGAGACTTTAATTAAACTTCTATTTGAGTACCCTCATTTTTAATTTTTTTTCAATATGATCCTATGATACCCCCATTAATTAAGTAATTTTCCATAGCAGCGATGCTTTTGGGGCTAAATTAAAATGTTTGTATTAATTAAGGGCTACAATCACATAATTGTGAACTTTATATACGAACAAAATAAATTTTAACCACTGATTGATGTGGATCTGACGTGGCGAAAGAAAAACCACGTGCCTGATTGAGGGGGGGGCCACTGTAAAGCTTCCGTTTCCTGTCCACGCCACTTGACGTTAACATCACGTGACGTGGGTCGTATTTTGGATAAGATTTGATTACCATGTGGCAGCGGTGATCTTACTGTCACTTTAATATTAAAAAATAAAAGTAAAAGTTTTTGATAATTCCAACGATGAAACGCCACCTAAGCCAGACCATCAGTAATTATCCTTACGTTTACTCCATGAAAAGTGATTTTTTAGACTTCACTTTTTATGTTTTTTTTTTTAATATTTATTTATCATTAGTGAAGTTAATTAATTGAAATACTAAAAAAAAATATCTTGATTTTTTAGAAAATATTTATAATATTGTTTTCTGAATTCATAAAAAAATTATATCTTATTATTTGTTAATTATATCAATTTTAATTTTAATTTTTAATTGCTATATATTTTGTTTTAAATATTTTTTATATGTATTTTTTTCAATTTTTCTGATTTTTATATCAAATTTTCCCTTATCATTTCTTTAAATTTATTTATTTATCTGATTTTTTTTTTATTATTATTTATTTTATTAAAAATAATTTATAAAATTTTATTTTTTTAATTTTTTTTATCTATCAGATCTAATTTCCATTATTTTTTATATTTTTTTATTTAGAATAATTTATTAATTTGAGATTATTTTTGTTAATTTCATCATCCTTTAACTTTTTTATCTGTCAGTTTTCATCAATATTCTTTGAATAACTTGAAAAAAATAAAGCATTAATAAATTATTTTTCAACTTATTTTTCTTGGCATGACTAAATATTAAAAATATTTTTTAATTTATTTTTCATGATACTATTAAATATCAGAAAATAACTTATTTTTTAGGAATCTATTTTTTATATATATCATTTTCTAAAAAAAATATTTTATTTCAAACAAAAAGGGTTTTGGGATTTGCTATAGTAACTATTAACAAGACAAGTTTTGATAATTAAATTTTTATAATTAATGAGCAAGGTTGGTTCGTTGTTATTAAACTTGACATGACAAGTCAATTTAATCTTAAATTTTTAATTTCTATATATTTTGTTTTAAATATTTTTTATATGTATTTTTTTTAATTTTTTCTGATTTTTATATCAAATTTTCCCTTATCATTTCTTTAAATTTTTTTATTTATCTGATTTGTTTTTTATTATTATTTATTTTATTAAAAATAATTTATAAAATTTTATTTTTTTAATTTTTTTATCTATCAGATCTAATTTCCATTATAAATTATGAAAAAAAAAAAACTCATTTCTCAAAACGCTTAAACAACTTGCGTTTCATTATTTTTACTAATCTTCCTCTTCCTTCCTTTTCACATATCTTAATTGAACCTATCTTTAATCCAATAAAAGACACAATCTTTGAATTAAGAATCCAAAATCTTACAATCAAATCATCACAATTACCATTATATCCTAGGATAAAATCAGAAAGGAGATGTGGATCAAGCAGGGGCACGATCTGGAGAGCTATTATTATTTTGAGTATGAACATCATTACTATCTAATATTGAAACCAACTGGCTTATAGTCGACACCCCTCTTCCAATCACAGATAACAGCGGTGACGATGACAGCGGTTCATCGTTTTCTAACCCTTCTTCATTATCTCTTTTTCCTTTCTCCCAACCATAGGGATAGTGCAAGGATTTCACTGTAGCTCTAGATATAGATTATTATAGATTGTGACAATGAAATTACATGAGTATATTGTGTAAGTAGGAGGATCATGAGGGTATTTTAGTATTTTTCACATTGTATTTTTTAATCATATAGTTACTGGCGCGTGTTCCACATCTTCCAACAAGTGGGAGGTGAATGAGATACTTTCTAGTAGTCAAATCTAATCATCCATCGTATAACTAAATGTACAGTTATGTTGTATTCCATATAGTGCAACGCATGTAGATATACCATGGTTGAATTGCTACTAGTGATCGATTATTTGCATTTTTTTCTTGTTTTTCTCCTTCCTAAAAACTAAAGTGCATAATTGTCTTCTATGTAGATATACCATGGTTGAATTGCTACAAGTGATCGATTATTTGTATTTTTTTTTTCTCCTACCTAAAAACTAAAGTGCATAATTGTCTTCTCTTTATTTATTGTTTACTTAGGTCTGACTACATTGCTAGTTTTTATTCGTTTACCCTTTAGTAACTTAGATTTAAGCCTTCGGTTAGAGTTATTTGAATCTTTTCATCTGCTTAGTAGTTATTAGAAAATTATTTGGGGTTGTATGTATTTTTTTTTTAATTTTTAACACAATTAAAATACTCTTTTATCCCTAAAGTTAAGATATATTAGAGTTATGCATCAAGGACTTTCTTGACTTTCACAATATTAACAGTAAAAATATTTATCCACCCCCCCTAACCCTATCAAGATCAAAGAAGAATAAGCTACCAGAATCAAAGAAGGATAAGCTACCAGAGGAGAATATTTCATATTTTTTTAATTTTCATGTATAATAAAATAATATTTTAAAATTAAAAAAAATAAAAAATAGCTTGTATATACATGCTATATTCAAGATACTTGAATATAATATTTATGTAGATCCAAATGTTTTATTATAAATATTTATAACGATACTTAAACAATAATGAAATGAATGCAATTGAACATTAATTGAGGTGGAGTTATATTATAAATTGAGTTATATTATAAATTGACAGAGCGCACAAAACCTAATAAATAAAAAATAAATATCTAATCGAATGAGCAATAAATAAAATATAAATATACTTAAAACTCAACCAGCGAATAACCATTACCATACATGGATTCACTTTTACTGAGATAAAAGAATATCAACCACGTGAACCAATCCTCTTGTCTTGTAGCTACGGCTACTTTAGAAGAGACATGCAGGTTAGAAATAAGTCGAAATCTGGCACTAAAAAAAGTTCAAGATGACAAGGACATGTTTAGATGATGTTGAGCTTATCCCCAGCAAATTCTTATCTTCTTCTTCCTTTTCTAGCTTTTCCTGTCTTCTGAAGTAATTGTTTGTCTCTTCTTACTTTTTATCCATTTATTGGCATGAGGGTGTTCATACGTTTTCCCACATTGATGAATTCCGATAGGGCTATCAATCGCTGAATGGATTGCGATCCGTCACTCTGTTAGGTGAAGAAATGAGGAGTGCTATGAATACGAATGTTCTTAGCATTCTCATCAAACCTTGCTCGTTCTTCGAGGTCGATTCGGTGACTTGTTGACTCGTAGCTCGGCTGTGGTCAGATTTGCTTTTGACTTGTTTAGAAAATTTAGATCCAGGTTGATTCAATGATCTACGACCAATCTAACCTACCATTCGAGCCTTAGTCTGAGTACGGTATTATGATTCCTGAAGCATTCTACATTCATCAGGTGAAAGTGTCGGCCACAAGCAGTTCGAGCGCCTTGTTCATTGCTGGTGCCATATCTAGGGTTTATTCAGAAAAAGGAAAGTACGGATTAAAAATTGAAGCTAAGGGATTGGCGTTTACAAAATGTAGTTTCTGCGTCCCCCCTCAATTTGAATCCAAATTCACGTGGCACTTGGGCAACATTATGTTGAAATCATTCCCTTAGCAATAGTATTTTCACATAAAAGATGGCTGCTCGGCTGCTCTTGGAGTGTACAGGATGTTATGTGAACCTTCAGAATCATTACTTTTTTCTGGACTTGAACTCTCCCAGATTTGCAGTATTGTATAGCCTAAGAAGACGATGTTTTATAAGGAAGATAGATAGAACTGGGATTTCGAGAACGATGCCACTGTGAACTGTTTTATAGCCAGACTGAAAGTTAAGTTTTACTTCCTGCGCTGACTAAGGGCTTGGAAATTGGCTTTTGACGATTTATCTAGCGGGTGCGCAGAAAGGCTTCTATTACATGCAAAGATTTAATGATGCCTGCCAAAGGTTAAGAGGCCTTTCGGAAACAAAATTGTAAACAATTAATATTACAAAATTGAGGAGTGATGTTCCGCTAACCATCCACCATCAATAAATCTTATCCAACGATTGCTTTAACAAATACAAAATCCCTCTTCCAAAAGAGACTTGCAGACCAAAAATAATGGCTGGACTCCAGCATCTGCCATCAGCCTTTGACGTTGTAAATTAGGAAATCCTGACAACATCGACCAACCCCATAAAGCTCCAAGCACTGTGAGAATGACATGAATATCAATGCATTACACATTCGGCAATATCAAAGTTGAAGTCTGATCCGAGCAGAAAAAAGGGGCAGAGACAAAGAAATTTCGACAAATTGGTTACAGTTAAGTTAATGATGTCCATGTCTTAAAATTCTCACAATCTAATACACGGGTGAGACATAATTCTTTCTCCAAGTCGGAGCCTAGACATATAAAGTTATTAACATTGCACATATGGTGCTGTATAAAATACCAAGATCACCTTGAATGTACATATGATGAAAGCTAAAGGCGGGCTAGGTGGAATCACAACAGTAGCAGCAGTGGTGAAGCAGCCTCATGATGAATTTCGACAGCATTTTCCACACAAACCCAGGAGGCTAGCAATAACGCTTGATCAACTACAAATCTTTCACATAGATAGATGTACGTCAGAAAGTGGCAGAACTGGTTCTTCTAAGCTGATATTTCTGTTCAGGTGAAGGTTCAATTGGGAACTTCTTCTCAAATTCCTAGAAACAAAGAAATTCAAATAGAAAGCAAAAAAAATCAGGATGCAAAACTCCTTCCAGGACAAAACCGTTGCTTCAATGTAAAATACTCATTTATCTAAGATACAGCTACCATCGACTTGATATCCTAATGCTTATGGTGGCAAATTTCATCGATGCAGAAAAGAAAATTTGACTATTTTAATGCAGTTCCAGGGTTCTTGCAGCAAGAAGGCACTAAAAAACAAATATAGAACGAAAACTTTACAATTAAATGAAATTTGCAAAAGCTTTATCAAAGAAAATGTTTTGTAAAAGAATCAAAAGATAATTTTTGAGTGATATTAGACTTGCGGAATAAAGTTTGTATAAGCTACTCAAACACAAATACTTCAATGTACTGTGGTTGACATATAAATTACAGCATCTTATAGAGCTAAAACTTGCCACCTTCTATCCAGTATTCAGGTCCAACAGCAACCGTCAACAAGATTCTGCAACAAAAAGCGAACATTTTTCTACACAAATGTAACAAGTCCCAAGGAATGTATTATTTAATTACTGCCCTGCTTGGCTGATTAAATTATTCAGCCAAATGAAATATATTTAGCAAAGTCTAACCATGTCCCTCAACCAGTTAAGTGACATCTTGAAAATACCAGTCAAACTCCAAATCCCACTAAACCAGCACAGCTTGTTAGGGTTGAGTTCAGGGCCTTTGAACACTAGCTTAACTAGAGGGAATTGATGGGAAAGCTGGCTGAAATCAGATCTACTTCTAGGTTTAATTGTGGAAGATTAATGGAGTATAATGAATGAATGGAAGTACAGTCTACCTATCCACCAAAACCTATGGTTTTTAGGAGTCACACCTGAGATATGATTGATCAACATCTCAAGGGGCAATGTTAGCTGGAATTTTTTTTAGAAATTATCATATTGTTTAACTACCAACAACTGACGTGACCTCTCTCTTTCTCTCAATGAGTGTGTGTGGCCTGCAAATTTTTCCTCAAATTGACCATAATGTGAAAAAACAAGATTTTTGTCATAATTAACATGACAAGGAGCACCAAAACAATAGCACAGCATTAGAATGACTAGCACCCGACAACATGCAGCTTCTCAGGTTACATCTAGAGATAGATAAAATATGACTTTTCCAACAACTGTCAACTTACTGAAGCATTACTCCTAACAGTTATGATCAAGAACAAATATCCTTACTAGCTAGTCCTCTCTGCCAAGTGCATCATCTCTATTAAAATAGTTCAGAATATATATCAATCCAAACTGGGCCGAAATACAACTTAAAAATTTGGAACACTATTTCCAATTCAGTGGGGGCATTTAATCATTTAGCCATTTCTTTCATCTTTCCTCTTGGAGTGGTTGACAAGTGTTCACGGAAAAAGAAATAGAAAACAGCTGATTAAAATGAAATATCCTTCCTACCTTCTCTTTCTTGAGCTTTATATTCTCCTCCTCTAAACGTGAAACCTTGCTCACCAGCTCATTATGATAGGCCTGCATTTTTGCAAATTCAGTTTTAAGGACATGGGTAAGCAAATTGATGTCCACGGTACAGTAAAACCCTGAAGACAAATGGAAACTGTTTAAAAGCCTACCTGTTTTCTAGCTCGAGAACGGGCAGCAGATTCCCTGTTCTTGATCTTTCTCTTGAGCCTCCTCTCAATACTCTTCTCAAGTGTATCTGGGGCATCCCTGTTCCATCCCGATGTCGTAGAGTCAGATAACGTGCCAGTTGAAGGGGATGAGGAGAGGACCATGTTCTGTGGAAAACATTGCGGAGTCCCTGCAGCAACAGTAACCAAATCCAAAGAAGGGCTTATTGTTGCCTCGGCAAAAAGTCCTGCTTGTACCAAAAAATCCTCCAAAGTTGTTTCGCCAAGTGTCTGCTCTCTTTCCTGAACGTTCATTTCCTGACCAAACCTCTTCTTCTGCCCTTCTTGAATCTCTTTCCAGACTTGATCCACTGTCTTCCCACTCAATGCCCTAGCCAATGTGAAACTAGCCTGACGTTGAAGAGAAGATGTTGCGGTACTTTCACTATCCATTCCCATCGATTGATTTGCTTCTGTGCTCCATACATTTTTAAGAAGCTCATCAAGGTTCATGCTACACAAGGGCTTCCCTAAATTTCCCATTTGGTTTTCAACTTCGTTGAGAGTGAGGTTATACCACGAGGTTTGCCTCATCAATTGACACGGCTGCATATGAGATTGTTGGCCATTGCTTTGCGATGCCATCGTTTGAACCCCCATTCACCATCAAACTCTTGACCCCAAACCTATCTCCACATTAAAAAAGAAAAAGAAAAAAAGAAGAGGCAAAACCCAAAGTCACTAAACAACTCCCAAAAACCCTTAAAAACTTATCATCTTAATATCCTCCATTTTTCCATCTAGAAAGTAATCCCACTGTCCTCCAAAAAACAAAAAAAAACAATCATGAATCTGCTAAGCTAACCCATAAAACCTACCAATTCAAAAACCCTTTTTTTTTTTTCTTTAAGCCTCAAAACTTCAACTATTAAAAGCATGAAAAGCAGCACTTACTAATGCCATCCCATAAATGAATAACTAAAAAAAAAAAAAACTCATTAAAAACAATAACAAAAACCACTTTTTAAATCCCAAATGCTCCTCTCCTCTCCTCTCCAGTTCCAAGAAGGGAAACCCAGAATTTAAATATTCAAAGAAATCACTAAAACACAAACTTTCCAGTAGATTTTTCATTTTCATATTTTTTTTCCCTCCTATTTTCTCGCAAACCAAACAAGGGTTTAAATTTCCTCAACAAGAGAATACATCACTTACATCAATTATACAATCAATCAACCGCGTAGAAACTAAAACTAAAAATGATTACAAATAATACCTGGAGGAAAAGGATTTGGTACTTCAGAGGATCTGGGTGGCACTTCGAATCAGAGAAACAGAGGACCAAAACGAGGAAAAAAATGTTTTTTTTTTTTATTGAGTTGTTGTCACGTCAGAATTCCACGTATCACTTTGGCGTTCTATAGGAACAGACAAAAAAGACAAGACCCTAACCTGTGGGCTTTTGCCACTTGGGCTCATTAAAGCAAATTTCGACATTCGACTAGCCTGGCCGAGTCAGATTGGGTTTTATTACCATGGAGAAATTATATTATACACTCATCTCTCATACATTGTTACAAGACTCCCTGACAGGTGGATCAACTCGGTGAACCACCGGCTCAAGATTCTGGTTCGAGTAGGGTTTTATATTACACTAGATTGAGAGTTAATTTAATTAAACCATTGACTAGGTGGATCAACTTACAATCCTGTTCTAACCTAATTTGATGTTTTAATTTTTTTTAAAACCCTGTTAAAACTTAATTTGATATTTTAATTTTTTAAAATGATTTTTTTTTAATATTTAAATAATACTATTTTAGATTAATAGATCTGACTCATAACCAAATCTTAGATACCAAATTTTAGATCAAGTTATGAATATAACTGTGCAACATAAACTCCCTTACATCTTTTGCATTTATAAAGTAGTACAGTGCAGCCTGTAAGATTATAATCAATATCCGTGGATTTTTTTTATATATAAAATGTTTTTTAGAGGCACACATTGACTTAATTCTTATAATTTAAAATATTTTTATAACAAAATTGATACACACACACATTGACACACACACACACCTTTGATATAATTTAAAGACTAAGAAAGTTGTTTCCTCCCATTAGTTCACAAAATTCAAATTTAAAGACTCTTAAACACATCATGTCAATATAAAAATATGTTTTTAAAATTATTTTAAAATAAAATTTAGTTTTTATTTATACATATTCGGAAATTCAAAATACCTTTTACCATTAAAAAAAAAAAAAACTCTATATTGTTAGAACCTGGATAATATTGTCTTCCTAATGATTTATATATATTGTCATGAAAAACCGAAAAAAGGACTAGGTTACAAACAAAGGGATCCAATGTGGGTTTATTTAATTGATTAATTATTTAACCAAAAAAAAAAGGGATCAAATAATAACTTATTTATAACATGAATCTCAAACAGGGTACTTGGAAAGGAATAAAAATATCAAGTGCTCATGTTAAGGCTTTCAAGACAAAGTGCTTTGTGTTGATACAGTTTATCTGTGTTCAATAGCCATTACTTGTTTGATAAACAAAATGCTAGGAGCACAAAGGCTGCGGTGCCTGTCTTCACTCTACCTCCCTTCTTAACTCTACTAACCGTGGTGATACCATGGCTCAGCTCTTGAACTTCTTATTCAGCTCCTCAAATTCTCTAATGGTGCTACCTGCATCTGTGTCCAGCGAGGCTGCAACATAAAAACAGTAGAAGAGATTATTATTTAATGGAACCAGATTACACGCCATGACAGACTTGTTTAATTGTTTTCCAGCTTATTAGAAAATGCGATGCAACAACAAATATCAAGCAGCTGCTTATGAGATGTAGCGTAGAATTCCAAAGGAGGAAAAAGCAAATCAATTAAAGACAGAACATCCAGAAGCAAATATATTACAAGTGTAAACAAAGAATTGAAATGTGCTGCAGAAGGTAACGAGCTGATAGGATCTTCTTGAAACACTATTTTGCTGAAACTGAATCCTAAGCAATTAATTTGAGATTATTGAACAATTTGTTTATCCAACAAATGAATACAAGCACGCGATGTTATTATGAACTTGAATCCAGTATCCCCCATTTACCTGGCGTCCTGTTCCTGTTATGATAACATTCACAGCAAAAGTCAAATTCTAAAACCTGCAGCATCAATAAATTGAAAGAATGGTTCCAAAATTAAACCTCAGTGGATAAAGAAACCCACAAAAAGAATCTTTGCAAAGTGCAAGAAATTCAAGAGGATAAAGACGAATCCCTGATAGTAAGATGAGATATCAAGTTACGAATCTTTTCCGGTAAATATTTGACTAGTCCATCTATATTAGCCAAGGCTTCATGCATTGCTTGTAGTAATTGAAATACAGCAGCACATCATGGTCCATACATTGTGCCAAAAGAGAATTCCTACTTCCACATCACAGATCGCATTCATAATTAAACTAGCCCATCAATCATAGCTCTCCCACAAGCTAATCTCCATATATTCTCCTCCATAAATTATCACCTTCATTTTATCTCAAATGCCATTTGCCATTTTACACAATGATCAAAACAAAAATTCCTCCTCCAATTCCAGCCATGTATTGTCAAAAGGCTGACAAAAACAAACTGCTGACAAGAAAATCCAGCAAACAACTTCTACATTCAAAGCTTATTCTCCTTGGATTAAGTAAGAAATCCATCTCCTCCTATTCTTCTTCAATCCATAACATTACAGATTTCATAGTATAAACAAAGTTGAGTACAAAAGGCACGATTCTTATTGTGTTTATTAGTTCAACTAGGACCCTAAATTCATACTCTCATTGTCAATATTATATATATATATAAACAAGAGAATGTGTCCAGACACACACTTTACAGTCACATCAGCGACAAGTGTCTCATGCACTAATAATGGGGATAACAAATTTACGAAGATTGTCAAAACCTCGAACACTATAGGAGCCAGGTTACCCAGAAAGTTGAAAGTAAAATTCATATTGTTATTCTAACTGCACTAAGAAGAGGTAGAAATATCACAAGGATCCACCAGATGTCTCACCTAGCGCCCAAAATAACTCGGCACAGATCCAATGCCAGCCTGAGACCTTGCTGCTGATGCAGAAGGCTGACTCAATTGAGAACTCTGATAAGCACCCAATCCCTGCAAAGCAGCCTGAGAATTATAACTACCAATCATACTGTTGCTTATAGTATTAATCCCATGCTGTGTGGTAAAACCTGCACCCAATCCAATAGAAGGACCAACATTCCCAACCCTGTTCAAAGGCTGCGAAACCCCACCAGGAAACAATGGACTCAACCCTGTCTGATTCAGCATCCCACCTGCACCAACACCTAGACCCAGCACCGGATTCAAAACCCCCAAAGCAGGATTCTGCCCCAAGAAAACTGCACCTGTTGGATTCACACCCTGCCCCACCATTCCCTGGTTCAATAAACCCTGAATTCCCAAATTTCCCTGCACAACTCCTGCATTGTTACCAGCACCAGCACTCGACGCCTCCGCAACATTAGCATTACCAACACCACCACTGCTATTCTTAGTAGATAGTGAACACTGCAACTTTAAACCTTCAAAAACCTTAACAGGCTCTTCTAATGCCTTCCTAATCCCCTCTAAACTCTTATAAACAATGAAGGCAAAACCCCTAAACTTCCTAGTACTCTTATCAAAACCTGATGGCCCATCTTCAATTTCTCCAAACTGAGCAAAAAACTCTCTAAGATTCTCCACACTAATCTGAGGACCCACATTCCCTATGTACAATTTCCTCAAACTGATATCAGAGATACTGTCCTGTTTCTGATTCTGGCCCTTTCCTAAAGACGCCAATTGACACGAAACCGTTCGATTCCCCACCTTTTTTTGTGGCTCTTTAAGCGCTTTCCGCGCAGCAATTCGCGTTTTAAAGAGAAGAAAACCATACCCTTTTGAGCGACCTGTAGCCTTATCAGTTACAATCTTGCATTCCTCAATTTCACCGTATTTTTTGAAAACTGAGATAAGGGTTTCGTTGTGGGCATCCCAACCGAGTCCGTGAACGAAGATTTTGCGGTGGACTGGGTCAGAATCGACGGAGTTGAAGATTTCTGTGGCGATACCTGGGTCAGTGGAGGCTGCTTCTTTGAGGATTTTGATAAGAAGTTCTTTAGTGAAGGGTTGTAAGATTTTGCTTATGGTTTCTCGTTTAGAATCTTCGCTTTCTTCTTCTTCGGATTCAGATTCAGATTCCTCCTCCTCTTCGGATCCTGAATCCCCTGACTCTGTTTCTGATGAGGAACTGTCTTCTTCTTCTTCCTCCTCCTCCTCCTCCTCCTCCTCTACCACTGCTGCTACTTCTTCAGCTTCTGAGGAAGGTGGTGGAGGCTGCGGGGGCTTTTCAATTTTGGGTTGTTTAGAAGATGATGATTGTTGGGGTTTGGAAGTGGGCTTTCGTTTCTTGACCATTTTTGTTACTGTGTTTTCTGAGAGAGTTGAAGAAAAGGAAAGGAGGACGGTGCGCTTCGGTGCAGGCAAAAGCAATAGAGGGTTTTGGAATTGGAAAAGACGGTTGAACTGCACTTGGTTTATATCGAGATAAAGTTGAATTTGGGGTTTTGTAAATTTTATTTTCTTAAAAATATATTTTATATATTTTTTAAAATTTATTTTTAATATTATCATATTAAAAAAAATTAAAAAAATATAAATATTTTAAAAAATGAAAAACTAAAAATTTATAAATATAAATTTTAAAAATTTTAAAAATTTTAAAATATAAATATTTTAAAAATTTATTTTTAATATAAATATTTTTTAAAATATAAATATTTTAAAATTTTATTTTTAATATAAATATTAAAAATGAAAAACTAAAAATATAAATATTTTAAAAAATACAGTTCAGTTAAATCGTAAGTGATTGGTCATATCCAAAGTGATGCACTTAGAAGAAAAACATAAAAATTACATTAACCGGACCTATTTGAATGGGGAAATGAATATAAAAATGCTTTAATTTATGTGAATTGATGTTTTTGCCTTTAAAAATTCACTCAAAGCTCTTTTTCAGGCGTAAAGTATTTTTTTTGGCTAGGTTTATTTATCATTTTAAATTTGATAAGGCTATCTTAGTTTTTTTCTCACAATTGTTAGCTTTGGTCGAGGAGCTTTATCTAAACTTTCTTTAAGCATGCACAATGTTACTATTTTAATGCCCTTGGAATAAAAAAAAACTTTAAATTTAACTTTAGGATATATTCTTAATTTTACATTGGTTTTTACTATGATCATGTGGTCTCATGGGATGATTATTTGATAATTTAAATAATTAATAATTAATAAAGAAAAGAAAAAGTTGTTGGCGTGTTCATGGAA